ATAGCCACGATTATTATTGTAAAAATTTTTGTTAGGCTTAACATTGACGAAATTCAATGCGAAGCAACATACAACGGAGAAAAATTTAAACATGGGATATATTAATATACTATTATTGAGATATACTAATATACTATATTAATAATGTATTTTTTCGCACATAATCGGTTATCCGAAAAATCGATTTTCCGAACAACCCCAGTTCCCAATTGATTCGGATAATCAACGCTCTACTGTATTACTGTAAAATGTAATATAACATACTTCTAAATAAATTTAATATTAACGAGTAAAAAATTTTTACTCACTAATATTTATATTATAATAATAAACTGTCTCAAAATTAAATCTTTTTAGTGCTTTTTAAATTAACAAAGAAAACAATTATTTTTATCAAACATAGATAGATAAAAGCAAATAGCAAGTAATAAACTTAAATTACAGAATTTTAACCAAATATCAAAAGACAAAAATAACAACTGCCAGATGACAATATGCCAATTAATCAATCAGAAAAATAAATTAGACTGCTGAACATATCTATATGCACAACTAAATTTGTTTTAATGGTAATTTTTGTTTTACTGTGGCAAGACAAAACAACAGCCAAGTTTATTGAGGTCAACTAAAACAGAAAGATTTAACATCCTTTTCTATATTTAAGTAGTGTTGATTTAAAATTCATAAGAATTTCTAATGTTTAGCCATTTACAATTTCTGCATGTTCAAACTTTTCTTGAATTTTTAAACAAATGTTAGAAATTTAATTGATCTCTCATGAATCTGGAATTTACCTACTTCTTTCAACACCCATGAATACACAACTCAGTAATTACATACAAGCTACTAATAAAAATAAATTTTGACAAATACATAATAATCAGGATTAGTCACCTAGCCTAATTCAGAGAATTATGTATTTAAACAAATTTTAGGCATACTAAAAAAATTTTAGTCAATAAACAGAAAATCTTTTTGCAAACACACAAACAAAAACATGAAAATATGAAATACTTGAAATTTCATCAAATGAACCTAAATTATCTCAGTAGAATTGATTATTTGTTAGGCCTTACCTTAACATTTTAAAAAATATATTACTATTGGTACAAGCTTAATTGAAAGCATTTCAAACTAAAGTTAAACATTTTAAATTATCAGATCTAGGCTATACTTCAAAAGTTGACAGGAATAGTAATATATATTTTTAATTATTACAATTAAAATTCTGACAAGTTTATACTTCTTTATTAAATTTTTTAAAGAAAGAAAAGAGAAAATTATAAATATGTTGATTCCATGCATATGTTATGTAAAGAATTCAATAGCAAAATTCAAGTATATTCATAAAAATTTTAACTTTTATAATTAAATTACATAAAAGTCTTTCTCATCATTTTTTAATATTCCAATATATTTTTATGTATTTTATTTCAAACAGATATGAACACCAATTTCTTTTGTGTAACAGCTATCAGTTAAGAAATTGAAGTCATATAGTTCTTGATTTCTTTCATTAGCTCTTAAACAAAATCAACAGAAGCTAATTAATTATTTAAATATTATGTAAATAATAAATTTTTCATAATATTGATTCAAAAATTACCACAGAAGGAAATGGAATGAATAAATCATTCATCATATTTAAAATATGAACTAATTTACTCTAATTTACTGAATTAACAGGTATTTTCTGTATACAGTAATACCCCGACTTATGCGAACCCGGAGTTACACAATTTTCAAATCTTGTCGATTCGTCTTTTGTTTGAGCACCACGCAACCCTTAATTACTCACTCCCCCCACACTATTGTTCAGCTTACATGTTCGGACGTGTTGCGCGGAATCCACACATAAATAACACAAAATAAATTGTAGCTATTTCTGTGTTTGTTATATCTACGGAGACTTGAGAGACTCTACTATGTCATCCAAACGAAGTAAAACTAATTCTTCTGCATCAAACAAGAAAAGAAGAACTTTATCTTTGAAATGTAAAGTTAACATTGGGTACGTTCGTAAAGTCAAACGAGTTAAGCGAGAATGAAGTAATCGTTATTCCTATTTCGTTAGACTTTTTGAACGATTCGTTACTAACGCATTTAACTCGTTTGACTTTACGAACATACCCATTATTAAAGACTTCAATACAAAAATAAAAATTTGTGAATTGGCAAAGAAGTTTGATCTACCGGAATTGTCGGTCAGAACAATTATAGAAGGCAAAGAAAAAATTCTCGAAGCTGTGAAAAATGCTCAATCTTTAAATTCAAGCATCATTCGTAAACGTCACAGTATTATCGCTGAGATGGAAACAATGTTAAAATTATGGCATAATAATCAAGTAAATGTGAAAAATTGTAAAATAATATAGGCCTAATTTGTTATACA